TTCAAGGGGAGCGGGCCGTCATTCAGGGGGATCTTATTAAGGAGCTTGAGCAACTGAATGAAAGAACGGCACAATTTTTATCCCTACAATGGGCATACTTTCAGTCACAACGCAGAAACGAACGGAAAAATAACTGACCTGGTGACTATCATTTATTTCGAGCCTTGAAAGAGTACTGAATGACGGTGCCATTCCACGAATAAGTTGACTCTCCGACACAGAAAAGGTGCATGCGTCAAAGATGAGCTAGGAAGGAAAAGTAAAATGGTGAAATAGCAAATGGTTAGTAAAAAACGCCATTGTAATGAAATTATGGACGAAATACATTCACTCGAATGAGACTTGAACTGGCATCAAAGCCACTGTATTCTATGCGGAACTGTCTTTACACTATGCCACCGAGGTTAAGTCCTAGATCGGCGACAACCCAGGTCAACCAAGCCATACATCGTTCCGAGGCCGGCAAAGTTTTACCGCACTCGTCTGGCGCTTTATTTTCATTGACTGATGCGCACTCAAAAAGCACTAAGATTCGAAAATGCGGGGCGCGTCCCAAAAGCGTCCTGACCAACGCTCGAAGCGTTCCTATTCTTCCTTGTCCCGCGATACCATACCCTCTAAGGAGGTTTTGTCCATAATAGCCCACTTTCGCCGCAAACTACGAAGAAAAACAGCGAGCAAAGCACTTGTCAGTAAAAAATGCACCAAGTAATTCTAGATCCATGACCGCTGTTTGACGCCGCAGTTCGCGCTAGGTTCGTCAAAACGAGAATGTTGAGCTTTAGGCCAAAGTCTTGACCACAGGCGAGGCTCCAACCTTCACATTTTGGCTTCCGCTATCCATTACGCCGCTCGGCTGGAAAGCCTGAGGTGCAAGTATCGCCTGAGGTCAAGTCTTTCGCCCATAACTCAGCAGTCTTGTGATAAGGGAAAAGAATTCATCAAAACATTCCCATGACAGTACGCACCTCCTGAAGCTCCGTAAACTGTGCCAATTGCGCCAGTGTCCACGGTTTCACGCCGCCTAGGTCGCAGTTGGATAGAGCGAGCCTGAAATATCGGACAACTCACTACTGTAGAAATATCGTATTATGAAGACTGATAATATTTCTCAGGCTTCCGTTTTGCTCAGAAATCCACCGATCTACGAGTACCACAGCTGAATTCAGAACAGAACCTGGTCAGAGGTGCAGAAGCCGAACGTGTAACCAGCTCGTGGAAGTGGCTGTCTCTGATCCGATCACGTAAAAGTTCGTCTTCTAACTCCAATGATTTGGCACCTTAATAGCTCAGCGATGACTTCACACAGAATTCTTCCAGAGAGAATTTTATTGAATAACCCTTAGCAAAAATGATGTAGTTTTTAGTATATTGAAATATTAAGAAGTTTTTAGTGTTATAGTACTATTCATACGCAGTCCGGTAGGTCCAGTTGACAGAAAGAGCTTTGAAAACTACTTCTATACGACGGTCTTTGAATGCTGTGGAAGAAGTAGTGTAGCGCAAGTAAAGCCGCGGTGCGCCCCAGAGATCAATTACTGCGCTTCTCTCACACAGACCAATCAAGACTTTTGTTCCTCAGAGAACTTTCTTAGAGGATCAGAAGACGGCTAATCCGCATCAGACGTCGCCGCAAGGACGAACAGAAAAACCGTACACCGATTATTCCATCAAATCACTGTGGAAACTTCTTCCAATAAATCCGGTAATACAACATTGAATGGAAGCAGACTGCTTCTTGAAAAGGAACTGATCATCGCTACGTGACCGATGGTTTTTTTCAATTTGCATGTTTAGCCATTCAGTATGAGTATTGTTAAAATGTCGATGGAGAAGCGATATTGTGGAGACTTAAGGCAATGACTGGAAAAAAATTTCATAGGAAAACATACTTTTTAAAAGATGGGGAATGGCGAACGACAGCAGCGAGTGGGTGTCATGACGATCACATTGGCAGAGAGCCACGGAGCCGTCATCATTTTGCACCCGAGCTGTTGCAGGACAGTTCCCGATTTGTATGCGAACATTCGACGGCCGTGGTAGAAGACGTCCTAAAAATTGATTCTTCCAAAATTAGAGTAGAAAAACTGAGAAACACATTGAAATAACTACCCCCGAAAACAAATACTGTTTGTTTTGCCCCTTTTTCATTCAAACCACTGTTACTTCCACCTTTACAATGTTAGCGTCGCCTTTTAAAGTGCTCAGATTAACAACGTTCCTAGTTTTACAAGCTCCTTGATCAAAGGTGTCAGAAGCTCAAGAAACAAGTAAATACAGAACCAAGTAGTGACCCAGTTACAATGTCGAAATCAGCCCGAACGCCTTGAACATGCTTTTGAATAGACACTGATGGTGTTTCATGACTACTGAAACAAGCCATCTTACCTGGAACGCACCAC